ACACACACACACACACACACACACACACACACACACACACACACACACACACACACATGCATTGCCATCTTCCAGGTTATGATAGAAACTCAAGGGTAAAATAGGCTATTTTGGCAATTTCACTGGAAATAAACCAAATGAAAACTGTCATAAGCATCAAATGGTTCAACTCTGGGAAAACAAACCGTGTCGATTCAATTTGATAAACTATTGTTCATACCTTAGAACTGAAGCTGCTTTAAAGTGAGTTAAAAGAGTTATTTTTCGCATTTTATTATTTTGCACATTTTTAAGTGTTTTTGAGAAACGAGTTTGACCGATTTTTCTAAAAATGCACATGACTGACACTAAAACAGAAACTCTTTTTCTTATTGTTTCATCATTGTGTCCACACAGAAAAAGCCTTTTGGGCTCCCTAAGATAATACGTTTTTATTTTCTTTCAAAAAATGGGTTCCAGAGTGAAAACAAAAGTCTTTGAAGTCTAATACTTGCATTGGATGACCAAAATGCTACCTTTTAAAAATGATGTCATCGTCCCACCCTAATTTACCCGATGACTTCAGAGTCTCTTCTTCTTCTTGTGTTTTCATTTTACACTCAGCTTGCAAGCTAAATGCAATGAGGTATATTTGCCTAGTGTAAGTACCTCATTGGCTAAATGCATGTGCTCTTCGCCTTGTTTCCTGCTTTATATTTTCTCGAGAGTTTGACAGCACCACACACAGGCCTGTAAAGTAAAGTAAACTTTACCGGTTAACAGAGCTTCAAATATAATCCTAATATTATCTTTTATGGTTGTGACTTAAAAATGTAGATTGATTCTTAAATAAATTTGTATTTTAACTATCTACTTACAACACTTTTTTGTCTACTATATAGTAGCTACTTCATTAGCATTGTGCTGTGTTAATCCACCATCAAACAACCACTAATCCGGCTGCACACAGTGTTGTAACAGACTGCCCTTCTCATCATTTACAGTTAGGAAGGTGCCGAGTCCAACCTCAGCAAGGTCAATACTTGAAGCATGTGAGTCCACAAAGTAAATGAAGAAAAGCAGCAATATGGTTCTGATCTAACACTGATCTATGAGCAAAAGATGCACAAAGTTGTGCATGAGCATACATCATCGATCTACATTGAAAAGGATGGAGTCTTAGATATCAACTGATGGGAATTTTTCATTACAAGCGGTTGCTGAGCTCATTGCAGGGTTTTTAGTTGTGCAGAACATTAATCTTCCACAGGCTGCATGTTTAAGGCTCAGGAGAGATGAGAAACACCTGCACACACTGGTGCTTTCCTTCACGCCTCAAAATTACTTCAAAAATCACCATTTTAAATGTTAAGGAAGGCTCTTTTTTTTCTTGTTGTCAACAAATTGCCTGCAAAGACCAAACAGGTCTGCCTTAGCATTCCAGCGCGATCTGTTTGTCCACCCACATGCGAAGCCATCTGCAGGTGTGTGCTCCGACAGTCATTAATCAATGCTGAATGTCAGATCCTGTGGTGAGCGCACTGAAAGGCTGCAGCACAACGAGGCACCTGAGTGGTTTTGGTTAAAGCAGCTGCAGCCACTATATGCTGCAGATGTTTGGCACATGAGCTGTTTTCACGTTGTTTTCGTTTTGATCCTGTTTTCATGAAGGAATTACTTGTCAAATTTATTGGCAGCATTTCATAAGAGATCGACTGGTCAGCTTTTCAATGGACAATGTCAGTTTCTTTAAGATTAAAATCAATATGCTACTAGCAATGATGTCTTCAAAAAATGGCTGGTTAAGATCCACATACAGGTTACACAATGATTGCATAAGTTAAGGTCAAGTTTTGCGTAATGTTCCTGCAAACTTCATTTGGGGTCTGGCCAGGTCCGGCCCATGGCATAGTCAGAATAGGCAAATGCTAAGGGTGCCATCCATCCAGGGGGCACCACAAATGGGGAACGAAAGCAAATATTTCACAATTTTTTTGTCAGAATATAGCTGATTTAGGAAAGGATCACAAGTCACTCAGGTTTATGAAGATAACTTGTTCTGTGGGGTTATTTTTTTTGCCTGTTTTCTCATACATGAGGTGTTATGTTGGTAACTATTTTAATTGCAAAAGAATGTTTCCAAAGAAAAATATAATATTAAAGACAAAACTTTTAAATTAGGTATGTAAATGTTTGTAAAGTGGCAGTGAGAAAACTACACAAGAGGCATCAAACGAGCCAGTTCCAGCCTTCTTTGCTAAAAAAGCCCCCTGCTATTAAAGGCCCCACCCCCTCCTCACCCAAGTAAAATTGATAAATATGTGTTGTGTTAAATTAACCTGATGCACACAGTTGTGCCTTTCTTTTAGTCGGTCTAGTGTGCTCAATAGTAGACAGTGTCTTTTTTCTCTAATTGCAAACAAAGACCTAATTAATCAGATCAATCAGTCTTCCTCTGCAGCATGTGTTTGGGACAGAGGCAAAAAGGAAGTGAAGAGTTACCACAAGGCAACATGGCAACAGCTGATCCTTTTAATCTGATCATTTTTGGTGGTTCTATTTCTCAGAAATCTTTGGACACCCACAGATGTTTTGACGCACATTCAATTGGACAGAACACGATTACCTCAAATGATCCCTTTTAGGATTTGTTTTTGAGCCTAAAACATAATTTGTTCTTCAATTTGCACTGTCTTTAACATAATAACAAATTACTGTATGTTTTATACACAAACAATGAAGTTGTTCAAGAATAATTGTTATTTGTATGTTAAACACTATTTCCACACCATTTGCAGTTGTGCTAACCCCACATAAACATACTCTGTCAGTGCTGCAGTCCTGATCATGAGAAACAAACAGGAACCCCTTAAAGAAATAAAAATATAAGTTGTTCTCATTTTAGCACAAAATATGATACTAATATTCTTCAGAAATATCCTAATGAATAAAACATTTTTTTGTCGTTAGGTGCACATACATCCTTCATCATGTTGTCCAAACAAAAGCTAACTTCTGTTAATTCCTGTGTGGAGTTCTTGTCACAGATAGAGTTTGTAAGAATTGGCCTGTATGACATCAAAAGGATGGTCAGTGAGGCTCTGATTAGAAGTATTACATCATGCTCTGTGTTTTCTGACTGCTGCTTCAAGTGTGTCACTCTAATTTTTATTCTGCTTTCAGTTATTTGTGTTTTATCTCCTGCCACCTCCTGCTTGTGTGAAGCACACACAGTTTTACTTTTTTTGCTATTTTTTTTTTAGCTGTTTAGCTTTTTAGCTGGCCATGCCTTTCACTGTGGTGTTATGGTGCGGAACAACTGATCAGTTTTTTTTGTTGTAAAATAAACATATAGGTACACAAATTGTTTCAACAATTATTATATTTTCCAGCCCGTGGTCACATTTGTTCATTTTTGCTTTGGTCTGGATTTTAATTAGTATAAGTATTTGTTGTGCTTGTTTATGCAAATACTACATGTTATTTGGACAGCTACTCATTTCAAAGTATGCAACTTACGGCTTTTATTTAGTTTTACTGTTTTTCTCACCATCAACACTCTTATTTTGGCCATTTTTTTGTCTTCTGAAACACTCGCATGTTGAAAGGCAATATCTTTACTGCCATTAAAGATTTACCTCAGCTATAAACATATTCTCAAGGGGAATAAGTTCACACATTTTCAAAGTCATCTCAGGGATTTATACAGAAGGCAGAATTTTAAAACAAATAGCACACATTTACCATTAGATTAGTTTAAACTTTTTTTACACTATACATTAGACAGATATAAACTCTTGGTGTTATTTGAGTTACATGAACAGTGCTGCTGAAAGAGGAGTTGAAGTTAAAAGGTCAAGCATGTGTTATAAAGTTAGTTCACCTCTGAAACATACAGCTAGCATCAGGTCTGCAAGTCGAGTATCACTAAAAAAAAAATATATATATATATATATATACAGTATATAAAATTATTGGACTTAAAAGTGGTAATTCAGATCTGTTGAAGAGGGGTTCTGTAGAAAGTTATGAAAAATGAATATCTTACCTGTTAATGATGGCTCTTTGAACAAATTCAATTTGGAGAAACAGTTTATTTTAGAGTGAATTGATGAACTAAAATATGTTTTGAGTTATACCTTGACAAATTGCTGTTGTTTTGTTTTGTTTTTTCACAGCAACTTCATTATAAGATTTTTACTCCTTAATTCTTCTCTAACTTATCCCTTCCTCTTAGTATTTGTCACTGACCCGATTCATTCATTCCTCATATTCCTCCTCCTTTCTTTTAATCCCTTTCAATCAACTCAGTTCTCTTCAGATTGGCTGTACCTTGATCATCACGGGTACTAATCTGGCCAGATGTTTCCCACTGAGACACCCACACTTCAACAACTTTGCATAAACTAATACGCTTTGTTGTGGCGCGGTCACTGCTCATGAAACGGTTTTCCTAAAATGTTATCATTATTTGCAACTGAAAATAGCAGAAGAAAGCTAGCAGTAGCTACTAGCTAGAGAGCCCTTTCTGCAGATTTCTCATATTTTCTACAGGAATTAAAACTGACAAGAGGTTTGAAAAAAGAGTGGATGTGGTTTTTAAGATTAGAGTTGTTTTGAGACGTCAGCTATTCACTTTGGCTTTATCCTTGCTAAGAATAGACTTTGGCAACTCCAAATTGCACAATTGCACATCTGTGTTTCTCGTCTGCGCTGTGATACTTCACTTTACAGTTATTCTGTTGAGTCTGTTGAGATAGTTTTGCACTGAAAACAGGCAATTTCTGATTCCTAATGTCGGATACTGATTGTCTACTGTCTCTAAAACAAAAAATATCATTTTCTATTCTTGCACAATTCTTTATATTATATTTTTATTAGTAGTAGTTGTATCATGGCTAGTCAGTGTTAATTTTGTTTTGTGTGCACCATCTGTAGTTTCTAAAATAACTGTACGAATGCTGCTGTGACACCTGAATTTCCCCTCAGCGGCATAATAAAGGCTATATCTATTCTACTCTTCTATTTTATTCTAAACTGAGGTCATTCAAAAAGCTATCTGCAACAGGTAAGATCATAGTTATTCATAACCTTTACACAGAACTGTCCATCCATCCATCCATTTTCTGTACACGCTTCTTCCTTTTCAGGGTCGCGTGGGTCACTGGTGCCCATATCCAGCAGTCACAGTGCGAGGGGCGGGGTACACCCTGGACAGGTCGCAAGTCCATCACAGGGCCACACATAGAGACAAACGAGACAAACAAGCATTCACTCTCTCACTCACACCTAGGGACAATTTAGAGTTATCAATTAACCTAACAGTCATGTTTTTGGTCTGTGGGAGGAAGCCGGAGTACCCGGAGAGAACCCACGCATGCACAGAGAGAACAGGCAAACTCTACCCAGAAAGGTCCCCAGACCGGGATTTGAACCGGTGACCTTCTTGCTGAGAGGCATCAGCTCTACCAACTGAGCCACCGTGCCGCCTTTACACAGAACTGAATTTAGATTATTCTTTTAAAGTTCAATAAATTGTTAAAGTACTCAAATATTTTGTTGCCTGTGAATGTTAACCTTAATTAATAAATCCGTATTTTCAAGCACTCGATTTGAGCCAATTTATCCTAAAACCCGACATATTTTGGCACATTTCACTAAACATAGTAACCCATCTGTGCATTAGCAAGGATACAGTCACGGCCAGGGAACAGGATTTTGTGGCGCACCATTTCTCCCATGATGCACCCCACCGACCAAATATCCACTGCACGCATAGAGGTGAAGGTGGAGACGAGCAGAGACGGAAGCAGAGAAAAGAAGGGGAAGCAAAGGTTAGTGACAGTGGTTATTTAGATAAAACAGAAAAATATTTGGTAAAAAAGCATTTAGACAGAAAGCTGAAAAAAAACAAGAGAAACAGAAAATGAAAGCAGAGCTTTGGAAGGACTGACTGCTTGCAGGAAACTCAAAGTGATGGCGCCCACGGGCTTTCATTCTTGAGAGGACTCTGACTAATGAATCATAGCGAGGCTGGCGTCCAGTCACATGTTCTGCGGGCTTTTAATCAGTGACTCACACTCTCCAACACTTTACCTTACTCTAGATCAAGTGCAATTCAACCAGAATCACTGATGAGGATGTGATTTTGCCTTTTGTTTCCTGATTGTTAATGTCCATAACAAAAAAATAAATTAAAAAAAAAGTCACATTAAAGAGACTCTTCCTGTCTACTTCAGCTAACAAAATTCGATTCAGCTTCATAAACCTCTTCAGAGTGACACTTTAAAAGGTTTCTAAATGGTACAAATCCTCAGTATTTCTCACCATTCTCTTTGTATCCCATACCCAGGATGACCTCTGGGGCTCTGTAGTACCGTGTCACCACATACGGAGTCATCATGAAGCTGGTGCCGGCTGTTCTGGCCAGCCCAAAGTCCAGGATCTTGAGGGTGCAGTCAGACTTCACAACTATATTGCTTGGTTTGAGATCCTGGAGAAAATAGAATCTCCTTTTCAGCTGCTGTCAGACTTCATGATCGTCCATATTGATCATTGACAAAGATAATTTACACATTTATTCTGTGCATATTTATTTAAACTTAGTTTAGAATGACTTAGACCCAAAATAAACCATGATCAATATAAACTATATGGAGGACATAAACAATGAAAACAAAAATGTAGTAAAATCATCATTGGAACTATTTTTGAACCCACCTGTTACTGGACTGTAATTAGACGCTCAGTACAGTAAAATTGTCTTTTCCTCTGACATAATTAATAATAAATCCAACAGTGTACACATCTGGATAGCTAATAAGGGGCTTCAAACAAAATCACAAGAATTTTAGATTTTAATGTTTTTCTTCTCATAGATTTGTGTATAATTGTTGTGTTTATCATGCTTTACAATAAGAGGAAACCTTATGCAAATCTAAAAATATTTTAAAAATAGCTGATATTTGTAATAATGTAAGTATTCAGCTGGAAGTGTTTTATTTTATGTTTACTTAGTTTTTTTTTCTGTTTTTATAAATATAACTGTTCTCGTGATTTTATTTTGACAAAAACAGTTTTCATGAATTTCAGAGGCATCTAAATGGCTCTGAGGGCCACAGTTACTGAAAATCAACAGCTCAAAGTTGAGATACCCAACAATTAAATAAATAGTATATTTAAAAAATAATAATCTATCATTCTTTTGTCTGATTTAAATTTTATTTTTGTTAAACGAGGTCATTGGCAGGCAGGCTGCGTTGTATAGCCCTGAAAATCTGTATAGCAGGATTCCCATATAAATTAAAATATTCATCATTCAAGTCTAAAAAGATATATATTTTTATTGACTCATTGGCGGACAGCACTGAAGTCACTCACAGGCCCTAACTGGCCCATAGGCCACCAGTTGAATGGCCCTAATATATGAGGATTAAGCAGCTTTTTACTTCTAAACAGATTAAATTGAACTTTACATGTGCACCATTGACATCGTTTTTCTTTTTATGAAATTAAAAAAAAGATATTCAAACACTCTTCCGTAATGTGTTAAATGTATTGAACATTTGGAACATGAATGTATGGTACACTTGGATTTCTGTCCTGTCTATGTGTCAAATCTAGCTTGATGCTACCAAATTTGCACGTGTGCAGAATGTTTTTGCAGCACAGTAAAATAAATGTTCATTTTGTCAAGATTATTTTGATTTAAATAATCAAGTGGTGAATATTTATAACTGGGTAGTGGGTTTGTTCATGTGTGCTTCAACTGAGCCTCCAGAAACACATTTAATGACAATCAGAAGCAAATGCTGTAAACTTTGTATCCCATTAAATGCCCCGCTTAATCAGCAGAGTTTCATTTGCCCTAAAAAAAGTGTGATCTCTCACTGTCATCACTGCCAATACAGCCACCAGAATGACTAGAGGATGTTACAGATTGGCTCAAATCTGTAGAGGTTTAAAGAGGTTTAAAAGCAACCAACCCAAACCAGAATTCAGCAGGTGAACAGGCAGAGTGAGCGGTCTCGCTGTCCTACCCTGTGGATGATGCCGGCTGAGTGCAGATGTTTGATGCCACACAACATCTGGTAGAGCAGGTAGGACATTCGCTCGTGGTCGAGCTCCATCTGGATCACCTGACACAGGTTGGCGTCCATCAGCTCCATCACGAGGTACCTGGGTAAAAGGATGGTTGTTTTTAATGCGGTGGTGTCAGATGTGTGACTGATGAGCTGTTTGGCATTTGGAGCGTTAGCTGTACAAAACTGCAGCAACAGTTTCTGTGTAGGAAAAAAAACTGAAAATCTCCACCGAAACGCCTGAATCTCTGAGTGGTGGGATAGTTCTAAAAGCGAACACGCTCTCATTTATCATTCAGCATGAGAACACGATCCCATCAGCAGTGTCACCTGACACCTGGAGTACTTTCACTGTCTACACTTCAACACAAAGTCAGTCACGTTTTCTGGTATTTAACATAGAAATGAAAAAAAAAAGAGATAAATGAAAGGCTAAGCACTCCTCAGAGGAATTCATTTTGCCTGATGCCTTTCATGGCAAACTAAAAGCATCTTGTGCTAAAAGGAACAAAGTTGTATATTGTTCAAACTTTATAAATGCAATGATCTCATGCAACATTGTGAAATTTTGCAAGATGTGCTAGCACTTAGAGTTTGTGTTGAGAATGACTCTCAGCTATTACCGCACCACATCTTAGCTCTGTTTCTGTAAAACTGACTGAATTAGGGCCACTTTTGTGTCGCCTAAAGTCAATGTGTTGATTCCTGAAGTTAATCAGTTGTAGATAAATCAGTTTACCAAATTTCCCTCTGGGATCAATAAAGTATTTTTGAATTGATTTTGAATTGAATTGAATGTAGTAACTATCTGAAAGCTTCTTTTTTTTAAAGAACTGTCAAAGGGTTCATGATATAGCTTGCTAACAAACAGATGCAGCTGACTCGTAATTAATTGAAAAGTTTGAAAAACAGATCTCACCTCATCATTTAGTGCTTTAAAAATGTGTTTTGAACAACTCCCAGCTTCTACTACATCAAACTTTAGCTCAGTATCTGTAAAACTGGCTAAATTAAAAGTATTTTTATGGTTGCTAAAGTTGATTAGCAGTGGCTGCACTTTGAATTGGATCGACTCTAAAAGTCATTTGCAGATGCACATCCAGCTTTTGAGAGTTTCATTCATTTTTCCTTGTAGTTGATGAGATGTTCAGCTAACACTGCAGACAATCAAACACACTCTCATTGTTGCGCAGATTTCATCAATAATGAGCGTCAAAACTTTCGCACAGTAGATACTTACACATCCTGAAATTCCTCTAATGATTTCTGTGGCGTGAAGACGTTTAATAAACTGATTATCTGAAAGAGAGGAGAGAACGGAGGATCAAACGGACAGCTGGTAATCAGTGAAGTGACTGAGAGAGACTGGGAGGTAAAACGGGTGCAAGTTGACCCTGATGAAGGACGATGGTGAGCAAGAGAAACAAGTGAATCAGAGAAGTGAGACGGAACAAAAGAGAAAGGATAAACGGAGGCGATTGGAGGCGGGGGTTGGGGTAGAAGAGCAGAAACTGTGACAGTGGCGATAACACTCATCCCTCCAAGTTTTCTCTGTTTCTCTCCCTCACCGGTCCGGCACACGTCTGGAGGCGTTGAATTTAGCACGGTCACAGCATTGCAGAGGCCGCTCTGCGTTTAGCTGCCGAAGGGATTTAATTCAGAGCCAGAAATAGAATCGGGCCGAGGTACGGTTTAAAAATCGCTCTATCATGACAGCAAATGCTTTTTTATTTGAGTGGGGGTGGGTGGTGCGCATTTCGTTTTGTTATCTTTCAGGAGGAACTTACATTTTTGTGATTGACACATTTCATGAGCACCAACTCCCTGTAGGCCCTCTTGGCATGGGTCTGGTTCTGGAAGGGTCTGCTCAGCTTCTTAATGGCTACGTTTCTGTCCAGGACAGCATCATAGCCCGCACTGCAGAAACAGAGAGAGAGAGAGAG